CCCCCTGCATAGACATACCTAATAATTCAGCCTGTCCACCCATCTATCCACCCATAGATCAACTATTGCCTTTACTGACAACTCAGTACTGTATCTGCAGAAGGGTTCATCTTTGTTGTCTGCACCTCCCATGCACCTCTCTGTGTCTTCCTTTTCCTCAGTGCCACTGTGTTTGGTACATTGCCCTTCCCTTCACCCAAATCAGTACTTGCCTCTACCAATCTAACAGCCAAACCACAATTTCAAAAAATGAAATAATGCCTCTTAAAAGCTGTGTTTGTGGAATGCTTCTAGTAAGAGACAAATCTGATTGTCAGGTCTGTGGGACTTCAGATGTCATGGTTTTCCCACTGGTCATTAGGCTCACAGTTCGAGAGCCAAGGGCAAGGGCACAGCCAGAGCAACTCCCCCCACCCCACCCCGGGTCTCTCACGAGACTGGACAGTGTCATCAGAACTCAGTAGCCCCATGTCCCAAGTACATGTTGACCAAGTTTTAGCCACATCGTCTTGTTTTAGGTTCAGAGCGGACTTGTGGGAATGAGAGGATGGGCTGGGCTCAGAAGAGAGGTTTGTGCCATGGCTGTTCCAGAAGACACGTTGGCTTCAATCAGGGGCCTGGAGCATTTTATTTGGGGCTAATTTAGTCTATTGTGATCAGGATAATCCTAGGGGAGCAGCAAGGGGACTGAACCCGACAAAGGTGGTGGAACTGAGAGACTGGGAGAACCATGCAAAGAGCACAGGGCTGTGTCCTGGCCAAGTCTCTTCCTACCACCTGCTGACCTTGGCCAAGTCCCTTGACCTCTGTAGGCCTCAGTTTCTGCATATGGGATCAGAGGGTCCTCCTGACCCCGCTGCTCTGGGTCTGAGCTCCGCTCTCTGCCCTGATTTTCTTCCTGGGAAAGTGTGGGACAGAGAGTGACAGAGGTCCACAGAGCTGGCATGCTTCCTAGCTGTCAAAGCTAGGCAAGTGCTGTACCATGTGTTTGCTTCAGTTTCTTCATCTGTGAAATAGGGTGGTAATGACCACCCCACAGGCAGTCAGGATAGAGTGAGGTGACTGTTTAGGAAAATGCTTTGTCTGTTGCTGGTCACCACAGAAAGATAAGAAATTCCTCTCACTGAGCCCACTGTTCCTGTGAAATTATGCAAAGGGGATGTGCCCAAAGCCCCAGGAACCCCCTATCCTGCAAAGTCCTGCCCAGGGTCTGCTCCAGGGCCACAGACAGCAAGTTAGCTGCCTCTGGGGACCCTTGCATCTCCACTGTGGCCCTAGACCTCTGCCCCACCTCCCCTCGCCCAGGCCTGCCCAGGGAGTTGTCTGTCTGTGGCGCCCCCACCCCAGGGCAGCAAGATTCCCTCCCTGATGCCTTCTTGAGTCAGCCTGCCTGCAGGATTTATAGGGAAGAGAGAGGGCTGGGGGCCCAGGGAGCTGGTCCCCTCATTCTTCTCAGCCTCTGGCTACCTCAGTAGCTTTTGTGGGAGAAAATGGGGTGCAGGTTCCCACAGGGTCTGCACGCAGCAGAGGACTATGAGTGGGGCCGTCATACCCCGCGTTTTCAGGATTTGACGTCCGTGTTTGCACGCTCCCTGCTGGCTCGGCTTTCTGTCACCTGCTTGGTGAAGGCTGGATTCTTCCTGACAGCCACTTCTCCTCGTATTTTCTCTCTCTCCTTCACAAATGTCTCTGTCATTCTGGAAGCCTTCCTTGAGCAACAGCTGGGTGCCAGCTGCTGGGACCTGGAGGTTCGGGGAGCCCAGGGTCTGGTGTGAGGCAGACCCATGAGCAGCTAAGCCCTTAAAAGTTCCTGGTGGTGCAGTTAGGGCCCTCGGCTGCTGTCTGAGAGGTTGGACGTTTGAGTCCTCAGAAGGCCTGGAGATCTGCGCTTGAGAATCAGCCACTGAACACCATGTTGAGTGGATCAAGATGGAGATCCTGGGGAGAGTGGGAGGAAGAAGATGCAGCAAAATTGAAAGACACAAAAATGATCAGAATTACTGGTCGAATAGAGATGACAGAACCCCTGAGACTGGGCGTCCGGGTTATCCTTCCACCTTGGAACTGGACTCCCTTCCGTGGATCAGCTCTCAGCCAAACAGTAGAAAGGCCTGCAAGCAAAGCACCTACACCGGGGAGATGTACCCCAACCCCAGGGAGAAGGAGCTCTGGTAGCACAGTGCCTAAGGCACTTGACTGCTAACCAGAGAGCTGGCAGTTCAAACCCACCAGCCTCTCCTTGGAAGGAAGGTTGGGCAATCTACTTCCGTAGTGATACCACCTCGAAAACCCAAGGAGAGGTCGCTATGAGTCAGGGCCGACTCGACAGCACATAACAACAACAACAACCACCCTAGGGAGATGCACCCCTTAGACCAGTCAACCATGAGACGTCAGAAGGGCAGCGTTTGCATAGGGGACGGCTGAGCAGACAGGAATGCACAGATAAGAAGGGCACAGGGAGGAATGGGAAGAGAGCTTTCTATGCTTGGGATTGTGATCGGGGTGTGAAACCAAATGTGCATGAACTGTTGAGGATAAAACGAGTCTGCTTTGTAAATTTACACCCAGATCACAATAAAAATTAAAAAAACAACAACAACGAAAGGAAACCCTACGGAACACAGTTCTGTGATACACATGGCGTCACCATGAGTTGTTACGGCGCTCGTGGGAGGAGCAGGGTGAGCACGGCAGACCTGGAGATGAAGCCGTGCTGGGCCTGGCTGGGGGAGTCCCAGGTGACAAGGGGGGGTGTGTGTGTGTCATGCTTGTCCACTGTGCAGTCCCTTCCACCACACCCCGTCCGCCTCAGCAATGGACACAGAAAGTCAGGACTCACTAGCTGAGGGGGACAGGGCACCCTTGGCTGTCTCTATAAGGAGCAAGCCCTTTATTCACTCCAGTGTAATTCTGGTCTTAAATGTGAACAGTTTCTATTCAAAGGAAAGGGGGCAGTGGGAGGGGTGCCCACGCTTTCTGACTGTTTTGTTCTTTTTAGGGTGATGCTGGAGAAGGGCTTCCTAGCTCCCCTGAACCTGCTGAGCCTGCTGGACCTACAGTAAGATTCCCACCCCGTCTGGTCACACCCACAATATACAAAGGCTAGGGATGCAGCAAAAATAGCCACAAGCCGAAGTGCCTTTATGGCAGCCACCAAAGCACCTTCCGGACAGAGCTCAGGGCACTCCAGTCTGCCAGCCCCTCCATGTGTTCGGCAGCGGAATTCACTTACGTCCTCCACCCTGAGTGGCTCAGGGGTTCCTCAAGCTCAGCCTATCCCAAACTGAACTTGACATCCATGATCCAGACCTGCTCCTCCTCCTGGGTTCCCCAACTCTGGGCATCGCACTAACCTACCTGGTCACCGAGAAAGAAACCAGGAAACCTTCACAAATGGTCTCTCCCCTCCTCCACCCCACCCAGTGAGTCAGCAAAACTGTCTGGCTGAGCAGAGTCTCTTCCTCCCTCTGAAGAAGGCATCAGCCTCCCATCTGGTGTCCCTGCAGCTCCTTGCTCTCACTCACACACACATGTCACCGTGGCCTTCCCAGGCCCAGTTATAACCTCACCACCCAGCCTCTCAAAAGGAGCTCAGTGTATACCTTCTAATGATTGAATTAGTCCTTGCCTGGTTCCTGTTTTCATGAATTAAGTATCAGAAAGATGTTTTGGAAATTCTCTTTTCTTCTTTGTGAGACTTTGATGCCATCAACAAGTATGCACCAAGTTCCTTCCCAAGGCCAGGCCTTGTCCTGGAAGCCCAGAAGTGTCTCAGGATTGGGCCTCTTCCTGAGGTGCCCTAGTCTAAAGGTACCGACAGGCACATGTGAAATGGCATCAAGTCCAGTGGTCATAGTACCAAACCAAGACCTCAGCAGAGGCCCGTGAGGACACAGAGGAGGAGGGATGAATTCCACCCAGAAATGGGGTGGAGAAGGCTTCCCAAAGGAAGTGACCATGGAACTGGGCCTTGAGGAAGAGTAGGATTTTTAAAGGCAGGAAAGGAGGCCGAGGTTGTGGGAGAGGCTAGTAAGTTAGGGGACTGGCTGTGTGTCCACTGCTCACCTAGGAAGCAGTAAAAGAGGAAGATAGCTGTAGAGAGGAGTGGGAGAAAGGCGAGAAGGAAAGTTGGGAGAAGCTATGAAGCTACTGAGTATGGGGAAAACATTTAGTGAACATGGCTGACCTTGGGCAGCGGCAGTTGCAGCCAAGTTGTGGGAGCTTTTTTCTCTCTCTAGGTGGGGACGGAGACCGAGGCTTCTAGCCTGGCCTGGGGCTCTGGCTTGGACTTTGGTTCTGGCTCTGGTGACCTTGCGCACAGTGAGGAGCTACTAAGAGTGAGTATGATGGGTCCAATGGCCTAGAGTCTGGGATTTCCTTGTAGATCACCCAGGAGGGAGGGACATGGGGGCTGGGTCACAGGGGACCCCAGCTTGGCTGTCACTGAGGCTTGCTGAAGCCAGTGATGAGTCCTCATGGGTTCATTATACTTTTCCCTCTGCTTTTGTATATGTTTGAAGTTGCCCACTTTCATGAGCTCCGTCTTGAGTATGAGCCTGAGCTCGCTTTCAGGACCTCCCCTTCTCCACTTCCCCTGGCGCCTTCTGGAGTAGGCTGTCCCACTGCTGCCTCCAGCAGGAGAACTACTTGACTGTCACCTCTGTGGTTCTGTTGAGTCCCACTCTCATCCTTTGCTCGATAGGGAGGCTTCTTCTCTGGGTAGCATTTCACACTTTGGCTTCCAGAGTGTTCTTGAAATCCCACTTAAGACTACAGCCCCCTTACCTCTCCGATTCACCCTTTTCTAGCTCCCTTTCGCCTCATTGGCACTTCTTGCCTCCGTGACCGCTGCCCAAGGCTGGGGCTCCGTTGGCCCCTCTCTAAACAACCCCAGGAAGGACTCCTCCCTTCCCCCGCTGCAGCTGGCACCTCTGTCCCCACAACTCCAGCCTCATCTCCAAGCCTTCCTTTGAGCTGAGTACTCGTCCTCCACCCCCATCAGAAGGGCTCCACTTGGCTACCCCTCAGCCCTCTCCTCATGACCAGGCTGGAAGGGCTCTGGTCTCATTGGATGAGTGAATCAGGAGCCAGATGGGGCTTCCAGGCTGGTGGTGGCTGGAACCCAGCAAGGGTTGAATGAGATGATGCATTTCAGGAAGATTCTTAGCAAGAGTTAAAACAACAGGCAGTTTTTGTTTGAACCCCTCTGTTAACTAGAAAACTAAATTAGCCAGAGCACCTCTGAGAATTCTAACTAATTGGGTTTTTATTAGATACACCCATCTAGGGAGAAAACATCAAATAATGGGGTCAGAAAGGCCTGGATCCAAATGTCAGCTCTTCTGCTAATTAGCTGAGTGAGAACCTCTGAGTCAGTCACATCATCTCACAAGCCTCAGTTTCTCTATGTGCAAAGTGGAAATACCAACCCCGACTTCTGTTGTGAGGGATGGAGAGGATGCGTGGAACACAGGGGCACGGTGTGGACTCTCCCTCCTCCCCCCCCACATTTCTAACGGAGCGTGTTTCCCAGGGTCCCCCAGGCCCACCGGGCCCGCCTGGCTCACCCGGGATACCAGGAAAGCCAGGAGCTGATGTTTTCACGGGACCCCCTGGATCCCCTGGCAAGGATGGAGCTGCTGGTGAACCCGGGCCCTCCGTGAGTTTCCAAAGTCCACCCCCTCCCTGTGGCCATGGGCTTCTGCAGCCAGGGAGAGGTGCGCAGATTGCAGACCCCCAGCACTGGCAGAGGCTCGTGACAGGGAGAGAGCAGCTAGCTCATGTTAGTAAACAAACATCCTCCTTGTGGAATCGTTCCTAAGATTCATCAGAAGTGGCGCCAAGAAAAGCCTCATCTTACGTGTTGCTTGGCTGCTGTATCTTAGCATAGGAAATCCAGACCATGTGGGGTCATCGAATCCCAGGCTGTCAGTCCTGGGCCTGGGCTGGGAGACCTTAGGAGACCATCCAGTCCAATGGTGCACAGGGCAGAGGAGAAAGCATGACTCAGACAGTGAAGGGCATTGCTCCAGAAGTGACGGCCAGTGGTGGCCTTTCTTGGAGCTGGCACAGAGCCCTGGCCCCACTGCCCTCACCCACTGGGCTCTCCCAACCCTGCCCTCCTTTTTCTTCCCGGTCAGAGTTTGTTTGTTGTTCTTATCAGAGATGTCGTGAGCTGATTGCTGATGTTGTTACTCCCCAGGGCCCGGAGGGAGAGCCTGGACTTGATGGAGCCTCTGGCCTTCCCGGGATGAAAGGGGAGAAGGTACCAGAAGGTGGGAGGGTGCCAACACAAGGGAGCCACTGGGCCCACACATCCTCTCTCTGACCTCCAGGTCTGATCTTGCCTCTCGTGTGAACACCCCCTCCAACACCCTTGTGGCCCTCTCTGCCTGTAGCCCCATCACTGGGCTCATTATGCCCAAAACTGAGCTCAGCGTCTTCTCTGCCCATGTCTGTGTGTTCCCAGCTTCAGAGAATGGCACCACCACCTACCCTGTCACCCAGACTTCAAAACAGTCTTCCCCAACTCCTCCTCCCTCTCCCTTTCCTAGCAGTCAGTCACTGCCAAGACCCGGTCTGGCTTCCACGTCCCTCACTTTCTCTGCACCCTGTCTGACTTCACCTTTTCTGGCTCCTGGTGCCCCACTCTCTCCACCCTCAGTCCCTCCTTCCCAGCTGCCCTGTTCCTCTTCCTGTAGCAGGACTGCCGTCAGGCACTGCCCTCCCCACTGAGAAACCATCCCTGGCTCCCCGCTACCTGCAGGGCCAAGCCCTGCTTGTCATTGGAACATTCTTTACGTGTGTAATTCAGTGTTGCTAATGTCTCTTCAGGGAGCTCTGGTAGCATAGTGGCTAAGACACTTGCCTGCTAACCAGACGGCTGGCGGTTCAAACCCACCAGCCACTCCTCGGAAGGAAGGTTGGGCAATCCTACTTCCGTAGTGATACTGCCTCGGAAACCCAAGGAGGGGTTGCTATGAGTCGGGGCCGACTCGACGGCACATAACAACAACAACAACAATGTCTCTTCATGCTGTGCCAGCATCACTGTCACCTATTTCCAATTTTCCCTTCACCCTTAGGGGAAGCTAGGTGTCTCCCACGCAGGGAGTCCACTTTCCCCTCGTACCGCCTCTGGGGACCGCTGACAGGTTACAGACAGGCCTCCGGGGCCCTGCCTGCTCTGCACCAGGCTGCCCTCCTCTTCCCCTCGCGTGGCCTCCCTGCCATGAGCCAGCCAGACTGAAATTCTCTGGCAGGCTCGATTTTCCAGCCTCCTGCCTTGGCACATAGTTTTCTTTCTGTTGGGGCTGTCCTTCCCCTCTCATCCTCCAAGGCCCAGTTCAGAGCTGTCGTCTGGCAGCTTGTCCTGACTGCTCATGGCAGGACATGCCATGCTTCCTCCCCTCGCCATCAGTACAGCACTTGCTGTGCTGTGACCCTCTTAGCCAATGACCCAAAAGCTGTTAGCTTACCTCCCTGCCCTGAAGCCCAGCAAACAAAGAGCACGTGTCAGATAAGCTAACAACCTTAGTGTCATTGGCTGAGAGGAGTCCCGGCAAAGTAAATGCTGTCCCGCTGGAGAGGGACTCTGGTGACATAGTGGCTAAGGCATTTGGCTGCTAGAAGTTTGGCAGTTCAAACCCATTGGCTGCTCCGTGGAAGGAAGATGAGGCAATCTACTTCCGTCAAGATTTGCAGCCTTGGAAACCCAAGGTGGGGTGGGTGTCACTGTGAGTCGGAATCAACTCGATGGCAGTGGATCTGGTTGTTGTTTTTGACAGACAGTGGAGGAAAGAGGGATGTTTTACTGTCTCTGTATCCACAGAGCTACACAGGCCAATCAGTATTGGCTTTTGATGAATGAGGAAACGTCCTCAGATAGTACACTATTTTCATCTGCCATTCCTGGGGTCCCTGGTACCTTCACTCCCTGGGGCCCCCTTTCTGGGAGCCCCGAGCTGATGCTGTGGGGAGGTGGGGACAGGGTTCCTTTCTATAGGATGTTCCCCAGCCTGGTGGATGAGATAAGCCTTGCCAGCCAAAGGGGGCAGGAGAGAGACAGTGAGCCTCAAGTTAGTGACGGAATGGCAAGTCTGTCTGGAATTCTGTGGTAGTCCCTCCCAGCTGGGATGGGGAGTGGGACCTCCAGGGCGCCCCACCTAGATGAAGATGTGGAAAATGCTGACTCCCCAGACAGTATCCTCTTCACTGAGCTGATTTTACTATTTCTGTCAGCACTCAAGTGTGTTTATTTTAACAGTAAGTTGATTTTCGTGGAAGATCATTTCTCAGAAAAAGAAGAAAGAAAACAGTTGTCAGACTATGTAGCACTTATTTCATAGCACCAACTGCCACAAGAAATTAAATTTTGCAGGAAACATCACAGACCTACACTCATCTTGCCTGTTCTTACCAACTCCCCCCCCCCCTCCTTCCTCCTACGCACTAGGTCTTGACATTGAAACTGCCCGCACTGTCTCTGCAGGCAGTCCCACACAGGTGCACCCTGAAGCTGCTTAGAGGCACGTCATGCACTGGGCTGCAGGTCTGCCCAGGGTCGTTGTGGGAGACAAATCGTGTGTGTTTGTTGGCTTCTGAGCTTTGCCAGGAATCCTAAGTTATGTGTACATGGGAGTCCTTAGGTGGCACAAAGGGTTAAGCCCTCGGCTGCTAACCAAGAGGTTGTCAGTTCAGATATGCCCAGGGAGCCTTGGACAAGAGGCCTGGCAGTCTGCTTTGGGACGATGCCAGCCATTGAAGTCCTGTGGAGCACAGGACTGACTCCACGGCAGTGGGTTTGCTTCTTTTGTTTGTTTATTTTTTATCTGATTAGTAATCCTGGTCTATTTTATGTTTTTGAATTTCGTTCCACATTTTTCTCCCACTTCATCCAGGATCACCAGTTTTGATCCAGTTTTGGCATTGGTAGCCAGCACCTCTAATTCTTCTGGCCTCAGGGTTGGGTAGGCTAAGGTTCCCATGGTCCGTTAAGCCCTTGGACTAGTTATCATGTGTCTTTGATTTTCTTCACTTTTCTTTGCTTCAGACAAGGAGAGACCAATTCTTAGATGGCCACTTGTGAGCTTTAAGACCCCACTTGCTATTCACCAGAGCAGAATGTAGGGCAGTGGTTTTTTTGTCCTATGTTGTGCCACCTGAGCTTGGTGTCCCTAAGCCCACAGGCCCAGTGACTCACTCCTTCAAGGTCCTTGGTTGTGGCTAAGAAGTTATCTGAACCTTGTCCCCTGTTAGCTTTGTATGTGGACATTTTTGTAGCACATGTAAATACATATGTGGGGTGTTGTCTGCCAAACCTCCGTGTGTTTATGGATGTGTTTCCATTCACCTGCCCACATCTGATCTTCTAGTTTGTCTACCTAGGGGTCCACCTGTAGGTTAGTGTTATTACTGGTAATAATAGCAGTATTGTGTGTGTAACAGGATTTACCTTTGTTGTCTAGACCTCTTGTGCGCCTCTCTCTGTCTGCCTTTTCTTTAGTGATATGGTGCTGGCCACACGCTTTTGTTATAGGGTCTTTCCCTTCCCCCGTCTCAAATCTGTCTCTTAATTAGCCGTCTATGTCCCCTCCACTCCCCTCTTGTCCCTGGTAACCAACAAAGACAATTTCCTTCCTTGAAATTAAAGGTGTAAACCTTTCCTTGACTTTTTGCAGTAATGGCCTCACGCAATGTTTGTCCTTCTGTGGTTGACTTATTTCACTCAGCAGAATGTCCTCCAGGTTCATCTGCATTTTGAGGTGATTCGCGGATTCTTCGTTACTCTTCGGCGTTGCTTAGTATTCCATTGTGTGTATGCACCATAGTTTGGTGATCCTTTCATCTGTTGATGTTTTGTTTTGTTTTTTTACTGCTACTTTCTGGTCAAGTAAAAGCAGACTCTTGAAGGACTCAGAAATTTGCATCTTTTCCTTCTGAGAACTTGAGGGAAGCCTTGCACTTGACATTGTGAAGAAACAGAAAACAAATTAAACCAAGGAATATGCCCTGGATGTACTCATTTTGGCTGAGTAATAGTCCGTTGTGTGGATGTACCACATTTTGCTTACCCATCTCTAACTGTAGGAGCTCTGGTGGCTTAGTGCCTAAGGCATTTGACTGCTAATCAGAAGGCTGGTGGTTCAAACCCTCCAGCTGCTCCTCAGAAAGAAGATTGGGCAATCTCTTTCTGTAGTGATACCGCCTCAGAAACCCAAGGAGAGGTCGCTATGAGTTGGATCCAACTTGACGGTGGTGCGTTTGGTTTTTGGTTCTCTATTTGTGGCTGGGAACTTAGGTCGTTTCCATCTTTTGGCAGCAGTGACACTGGTGTACAAGTGTCTGTTTGAATCTCTGCTTTTTCCAATTCTTCTGAGTTTATACCTAGAATGTGATACATATGTATAGTGGAATATCACTCAGCCACAAAGAGAAATAAAGTCCTGATACATTTTAAAATGTGGATGAACCTTGAAAATATCATGCTGAGTGAATTAAGTCAGTCACAGACTGACAAATGTTGCATGATTCCACTCATAGGAAAGATCTAGAACAAGCAAATGTATACAGACCTAAGGTTATCAGTGGTCACCAAAGGTGGGTGTGAGGGAGGGGATAGGGAGGTTCCCTGTTTAGGAGACACGGAGCTTTCATTAAAAGGGTGAAGGACAAGATTGGACACAGATAAATGTTTATAGCATGATGAACACAGTGTCACTAAATCACACATGATATAATGTTGAAACAGCAAATGTTTTGTTACAAATATATTAGTTGTTGTTGTTGTTAGGTGCCCTTCTTTCGGCCCCGACTCATAGCGACCCTCCTTGGGTTTCCAAGGCAGTATCACTACGGAAGTAGATTGCCCCATCTTCCTTCCGAGGAGTGGTTGGTGGGTTTGAACCACCAGCCTTCTGGTTAGCAGTCAAGTGCCTTAGGCACTACGCTACCAGAGCTCCCACAATGAAAAACAGACTGAGTACACAAAGACACACACACAAAAAGGAGGCACAGGAACTAGAAGAAGCTCCGTCAGATGCAACGACACTTTTGAGCCTTCGCCTGCCACGGCATCCGCTCTTCAGCTCGCGTGCTTCCCGTGGCAGGGACCTCACGCCCTGCCCTGCATGGCCTTCCACTGCCGGATGGATCCGCTCATGAGGACGTCTGCATTGCCTTCCACTGCCGGATGGATCCACTCATGAGGACGTCTTCCCTCACTCTGCTGTCAAAGAGGGCTCCCTTCTCACTTGCAGTGTCCCTAGCCCAGTCTTGGCTGAAATCCAGGGCCACCCCAGCCAACCCTTCTGGCGGCCCTTCCCTCTGCTCGGAGCTCCACTGGCTCCGTTCTGCAGGATCCACATCCAGCCCCCAGGAGACCAGTACTGTGGCCCCCGCTGGGCGCCTGCAGCCTGCTTCTGTGTGCAAACACTAGCTCGTGGTCTTTAGATTTTTCCAGAAGAGAATCACTGATTGTTCACAGTCCCCCAGACTCTAGAGAATATGTACGAGTTACCGAAGCCCCTTCACTTAGCTCAGAGTAGAGGAAGCCCCCCTTTACCTCTGACATGGGAGGGATGGGGAAGGGGACTGTCCCAGCACACCGACAGTCCCCAAAGAAATGCTTCCTCTGACGCCCCTGGTTTTGACTCTTAAACAAATGATAAGGTAATAATTGAAAAATGACTCTCAGTGTTTTTCAGCATGCCTTGCGTAGTGGACTGACCTGCTGTCCTACACTCAGTGGCTCTGTGACACCAGGGCAGGAAGGGTCCTGTTTTCATATCCTGTTCCTTACGAGTCCCTAAGTCTGCCTTTTCTCACCCCTGACATACACGTAAATGACACCTCTGAGATAGGTTCATTAGCTTTGATTTTTCTTTTTCAGGGAGCAAGAGGGCCTAATGGCGCAGTTGGTGAAAAGGTAAGAAGAAAAGCCTCCTGGTCTTCCTGTCCTCCCTCGGGTTTGCTGTGGTTGGACTGTTGGGCTGGAGTATGGAACGCGTCTCTGTCTTGGAGCAGAGAACCATGTCAGAGGGGCTCCTCAGCGGAGGTGGACCAGCTGGGAGGAAAGTGCCTTCGAGCTCCTTCCTCACCGCCCCCCCCCCACAAGTGTGCAGACACCCCGAGCAGCTTGTTTCCAAGAGAACTGTCAGTTAGCGCGACAGCTGCTCTGTACCGAGACGCGCCCCATCAGAGACTTCGTCAGCCTGATTAAGTTCAAAGACCACCTCTCTGACTCAGGCGTGTGCTCGCAGGGCTGGGTAATCAGCCTGTCCTCTTTCTCGCAGGGTGACCCCGGCAACAGAGGCTTACCAGGGCCCCCAGGCAAAAATGGACAAGTTGGCTCCCCAGGGCTCATGGGTCCTCCAGGGCCTCCTGGACCGCCTGGGCCTCCAGGCCCTGGATGTGACACTGGACTTGGATTTGAGGTAGTTGTCCCCCTTTTATGGTTAAAGAGCCATGCACGCTAATGGCTACCTGAAGGGAAGCTGGTGGGAGGGTGGGCTACGCTGACGCCTCTCTGGGTCCCCAGCTTCTGGTACTGCACCTGGCACAGGTAGATGCCCAGAGCACGGTCACTCTTTCTGCTTTCCTAGGACACCGAAGGCTCTGGGAGCATCACACTGTTGAGTGAACCCAGGCTCTCCCGACCAACGGCTTCACGGGTAGGTTGGTTTCTGAAAGGTTCATTTTGAGGAGTGAGGGACACAAGGACGCGAGGCAAATCCCCATCCAGAGTGGGGTCCTGTTGCTGTCCATGGGGTGTGCCTTCCTTCAGATACAGGAGGGGGCTTTGCCCCTCATCCTTCCCTCCCACTGCCAGGGATGAAATCGGTGCGAGAGCTCAGGGAGAGATGGCGCGATGCTGGTGGGAACCAATGGGAACCAGCAAAGTGGATCGAAGAAAACCGAGAATCTGTTGTTGTTGTTTGTGTGTGGTTTTTGTTTTGTTTTGTTTTCAGGGTCCTAAAGGAGAAAAAGGAGACCAGGGACCCAAGGTGAGGTCATGGATCTGAGATGGGTGTGGGGGTGTCTTTTCAGCCTGGTCCTACGAGCATGATGCATTTACAAGGGTTCTTTTCCTTTTTCTTGCTGCTGGAACCAGGGTGACAGGGGAATGGATGGAGCCAGCGTTGTGGGACCCCCTGGGCCCCGGGGGCCTCCAGGACGCATAGAGGTCTGGGCTAGCGTGAGTATGATCTGTACGGGAGCGGGACCCGCATAATTTTGGCCTTGCGAAGGGCAGGAGGTTGTCCACACGTTGGCTGCCTTCAGGGCTGCTGTTAGCGGGGTGTGCAGAGCGGGCATCTGGCACCCGTGGCTTCCACTGCCAGTGCACCCCACCTGTGTGTTCCTACCCCGCTACCACTGTTCTCATGGTGCTTCCAGAACATTCTTCTGGTCGACAGAACATGAGGGCCAGTTCAGAAGGCAGCCCAGGGGCAGAGAGCTGTTGGGGCCCAGCCAGGCTCTGAAGGAGCGAAAAAGTAGAGTCAGAGATTCAGAGGAAAGCCCCCTGCCCCCTTACCACTAACAGAGGTGACATGGAAGGACTTACCCTATGAGAGAGCCCAGGTTCCTGCTAACTGAGCCCCAGGTCCAACAGCCTTGTCCACAAGTCCTTGGGTGTCCTCCCTGGAGGCAGGTGAACCCCAACAGAAAGAAAGGTGGCCCTGACCTGAGTGTGCCGGTTATTGTTCCCCAAACTGCCAGTCAGATAGGCCACTCTGTCCCCCAAGGGCACAGTAAAGGGCCAAGAGAAGCCACTAAGCGAGCTCCTTTCGTGTCAAAGGCACTGTCCTAAGTGCGGAGAAAGCATCCCTCCCCAACCCTCATCAACAGGAAAGTGAGGCTGATCACTAAGATCTCTGCAGGGTGGGCTCCATGTTGTGGACCCGCCAATCCTCCTCCAGGTCTGTGTGTACAGCAGTGGCCTGGTAATGTCTCCTCCATGTGCTCCTGGGCGTCCATTTCACCTGTGAAGCCCCAGGGCCTGCCACATGGTGCGTGTCCAGTCACTGTCAGCTGAGTGGACTGTTAGACACCATTTAGTCCTCTGTTAGAATCAACTCAAAGACACACACAACAACTACAAAAAACACCCATGTGCGTACACTCCACATCAGACCTGTGGGTGCAAAGAGAAGTAGACAAGGTCCCCACCTCCTAGGAGGCCCCAGCCCAGGCAGGGCGAATGGCTGTAGCAGTCCTGTAACTGAGATGTGGAAGTGTGCAAATAAGAAAGAAAGGATGGGATACGAGAGATCAAGGAAGGCTTTCTAGAGGAGGTGTCTTTTCTTTGAGCAGGGACTCGAAAGCTGGGGAAGATTTATCCGGTTGGCGTGGACTACAGGGCTTCTAGGGTGTGAGTGGCAGGGCCACCATGAGCCAAAACAGCAGTAGGAACTTGTGGGTGTGCCCCAGGCCCAGGAGCTGACTGGTGTGGGAGAGCGGGCTTGGGGTGGGCGGATAGGGATGGAAATTTGGAGAGAAAGCTGGATTGTGGGCTGAGACCAGATTGCAATCCACTTACTATTAGGACATCATATTTGTGAAAAATCGTGGCCCTCCTGAGAGAAATGATATCATCCTGGTAGATGGCAGAAAGACAAAAAGCCCCAAATGACTGGGAAAGGATGACTAGAACAAGAAAAGGATGATTTAAAAATAATCAAGTGTGGGTAAGGGTGGGGGCGGTAGGTACTTGCACTCACTCCTAGTGGGAGTATCCACTGCACAGCTCCCATGGACCGCTTCTTGGCAGTCAGTTAAAACTAGAAATGTCCACAGCCAACAGTCCCACACAGAAGGATTTCCAAACTATATACTTGAGTGAAAAAAGCAAGTTGAAGAGTAATACAGACAGCACAATACATTCATGTAAATTAACCACACACACGCATACAGGAATATACAAAACAATACTACGTATTTTCTGTGAGGGCGTATGGGGGATAGGTATATGTGCTTAAAATTTTTAGAGGGAGGATGCCTTCATATGTCATGCAGTTTAAACATTAATTAAACAAGGAAAGTGATAAGGCACCTCGGGGCTGTTCTGTCAGAGGTGAGAGGTGTGTGGGCTGGTGGTGGGGTTGAGGGTGTTATGGAAAGAGGTGAGGGGTGTGTGGGCTGGTGGTGGGTTGAGGGTGTTATGGCAGTCTGCCCGTGCACTGTCACGCTGGGTGACTCTCATTGGAAGCAGACGGAACACATGCTGGGTTCTGTTCTCATTGTCTGCCGTTACTCTTCAGGCTCTGTCCAACGTCACCCGTGGACTCGTGAATTTCTCGGACATTCCTGAGCTCATCGGGCCTCCGGTGCGTATCCACAGCGGTGCTGGAGCATAGTTCCTCCCCAGACGTTCCTAGTGAAACAGATTCGGTTTGGTTTGGAATGCTTTTAGTTCCTGAGGCGTAGAGCTAGGATATAGGACAGTAGAGTAGAAGGACCTTTGCGTTCTTACAAGTCGCTGTATCTCATCATGCGTGGTTCTGTGCAGTGCACTGGGAGCTTCTGTTCCTCCCCGTTGGAAATATGTGAACTGGGATTCAGAGAGTCGGAAGTAACAGACAAACTGATGTCTGTGTGATGCATCTGGCCTGCTCATATTTGCATCACCTTGTTGCCAGGCCAGCAAGACCTTGAGAGGCCTATCATTGTGCTACTGGGGAAACTGGAGGCTCAGGGAGGGGACATGACTTGCTTTGATCTCTTGAGCCCCGTCTTAAGAGAGCAGGCAACTAATGTGTAAAGAAGTTGAATTGTTTATTCAAGGCCACACTGGTGGTCCATGGGGAGATGGGACTGAAGAGGAAGGGTGCCTCTTCCTCCAGCCTCTACAATAAATCTGCATTGCGTCTTCTAGCACCTGCTGGGTGGCAGCTGGGGAAAAAAGAGCTCTGGCTTTGGGACCCTTGGAGTCCATCCCCAGCTCCACCATGCACCACTCTGAGCCTCCGCTTCTCCTCTGTGGCAACATCTCACCAGACATGGGCAGCTGATAAGAGGTGGCAGAAGTGAAACTACTTTGTAAACTGAGGCACTCACCCCAAGCGCATGAGGTTTATCCTTCCACAGCTGTGCAATCCACATGTCTGCTGGGGCCGCCCAGCCTGCAGGTCCCAGTGAGGCTGGCCCGTAGCCCCTCCATGTCCAGGGCAAAGCCAGTGCTCTCCCCACGATCTCTGCAGATATCTGGGAGGCCCCTCTGGTGCCAAGTGTCTCCTTCTGCTAAGTGACCTCTTAGTGGTTGTCTTCCTGTCTTCAGTGGAACAGCCTTTCTTGATTTCTACTAAGACAATCAAACACCCAATAATCACACTCTACCCGTAACCGCAACCGTAAACCAGCCCACAAGTCCAAGTCCATGCACAGAGCCTGTTTTCACCGAACGGTGTTGGAGGTTCAGGGTGATAGGTGGGTTGATGCTGAAGCAAAACACAGGCAAGCCTAAAAGTGAGGGTGGTGTCTCTGTCCCTGCGGTCCCTGGGCCCTGCCTGCCTGCATTGCCACACTCACCCTGAGTCTCCCTTCCTCTCAGCTCAGGGCAGGTGGACCATCCCTGCACCTCACCTGGGCACATCCAGGCCCTCAGTGGTCCTCTCCAGCACTAGGGATTCCTCAGGTTTTCGTTCCCTGTGTGAGAGACCTCTATTCCTGGCCGTATGCTTCCTGGCCCCGCTACATGCACAGTATGTTGGGAAGCTTGTCAGTACCTACTTAGATCCCTCTCTAGTTTGTGCTAAATTTGAAAGCCTTTAATGGCTGCAGGTATCTGGGGCTGGCAGGAAGAAGGGTCCACCCAGATGGAGTGAACCAAACTGTGTGTCCAGAGACTTTGAGATGGATGGAGGGAAACCTGGCTCCTATGAGGAAATGAACTGAGTCCTACGGACCTGTCCCCACTTCCACCCCTGAATACATATCAGCTCACGCACACATGCTGGGAACACTCCTGGGAGTTCAGGAACATGTGCTAGAAACAATGCTTATCGAAGCACCAAGTGCTACTTGAGGGCCCTGGGTGACTTCACAGAGGAGGCTGCCATGTGAAACCAAGGGATTCTGGCCCAAGGGAGCCAAGGCTCCGGGTCCCTAAGAAACTCTGGCTCCGCCCCCCAGCTACTTTGTGCGACTCTACAGAGGTTTCTTGCCCTCCTGGGCTGCAAAGCTTCCTCTGCCTAATGGCCCGGTGAGCCCTTGTGGGGGAGGATGCCTGGGTTCTGGAAGGTGCTGGGAGGGCTAGAGCACTGCTGCCGTGCCCGTGAGAAGGCCACGTCTAATCTGGCCTGCTTTGCCTTGGTGTGTCACAGGGGCCAGAGGGCATGCCTGGGCTGCCAGGATTTCCAGTAAGTACCCGCTGGCTCTTCCGTCTACACTCCTGGCTTTACTGTTCCCGGGTCTTTGCCCCTTCTCCTCCTTCCTCCTGGCATGCTGTTTTCTTCCATCTCCATGCACCAAAGGTCTCATGTCATCTTGTCCAGGGAGCCTTCCTCGTTGCTCCTACCTTGTGGATCCTTCCCTTCTTTGAGTCCCACAAGGCTTTGTTCCCACTTCTCTTCTGGGCTTGCTTTCTTTTTTTTTTTTTTCTGCCTTAAATGATAATTTTTTGAGCCTCGTCCTTTGTTCTCATCTGCACTGTAAACGGCTTCTGGAGTGTCAGGTCCCTCTCTGCCCCAGAGCCAGCCAAAGCCCAAGCAGTGGTTAACTTCCTGTAAACGCAAGTAGATGAGTCAAGCATTTCAAGTCAATAAAGTCCATCAAAGTCCCCAAAGAGATGGAGTGGTGCTGACTGGGGCAAGGGAGGGAGGTGAGCTGTGGGATAGAACTCCAGTAACTGGTAGGCTGGGTGCACCACTGTGAGGCCGCCACCCCAAAAGGGGAGAGTACATTTCTTTGTAGAAAGTTTTGTCTGAAACTTTGAGCCTTTGCTTAAACCCACCTACCTGACCTCAGCATGGGGGCTACAGGATTTCTTTAAGACACTAAATGAGTGGTTCTGGGGTTCCCTCTAAAAGACCAAATGACGGGGCTGCTTCCAGAAGAAATGAAGGAAATGTGTCAAAAATGTAACAGAAGGTGGTTTTTAACTGTGGAATTATAAGTGGCTTTTGTTTCTTTATGCTCTTTTGAACTTGGTATATTTTCTAAAGGACTCTGCCCTATGGAGATGCTAAAATACCCATGAAGCAGACATTGAAGATCAGAGGAGAGCGTGGTGGCCTTGGAGAAGCCCCCTGTGTCAGGAAGAGAGAGGCCAGGCCTCTGGGCTCCACCACTAGCTTGGCTGCTCCATGGCCTGGAATATGTTCCAGATCCGTTTTCCTCCAGCTGAGCATTCCGGAGGGAGTGCCCGGCCCCTCAGAAGAGGCTCTAGGGCCATGACAGGGAGTAGGAAGGGGTCAGGCAAGCAGAGTCCAGGCCATAGCCTTCCAATAAGGGAGGCTCCCTATTGAAGTGCTTTATGTGTTGGGTTTCCATTTAACACTTTATTTGGGGAAAAGAAAGGAAAGAAATGCCAAGAGCTTCGTTACTAAAAAATGATAATAGCAGATACCTGAAAGCCATGACTCTAATGGGTAACTCACCCTTTAACCCAGCAGACAAGACCGGAATTTGTGAAAAGTTAAGTGGCAGGGAAGTGTTGAAATGCCTTTTGTGGGGGCAGGAGTCATTGCTGTGTGAGTCATTGTCAAATGTGTTGGAGTTGAGGTCACCTGCGCTGGGAGTTCTGGAGGGTATGTGAGATTCGGCTCTGCAGAGATGGGTGCATGGGTGTTCTGGTGGGGGGATGGCAGGGATAGAGGGGCAGAGGCAGTGAGGGACGGTGCTGAGGGTTCAGGGGAAAGGGATCCCCCCTGCTGGTGTGAAGTGGAGTAGAAGTGGAATGTGAAGTCTAGGTGTGCTAGACAGTCTCCTATGCTAGGTGCTAGGAGTATGGAGGCCTGGCTGGGGTGGGCTGGAGATGCTGGGCTAGGCTACTTGGATCCCATTGCACTGACACTGGGAGCCAGAATGCCTCCTCCTCCAGGAGGCATGGAAGGAGAGCGGGCTGGACTGCAGGATGGCCTGGGAGGCCAGCGAGGGCAGAGCTGTGTCCATAGCCCCAGATGGAGGAAGCTGGAGGATGAGGGGACACAGAACCACAGGCCACATGATGCTCTGTGTGTTTCATTTCTGGCAGACCCTCATTTCCGTACCAATTAAAATTAGGAAAATCCTAGGGCTAACTGTCACATCCACTGCCTGGGGAATGTCACTCTCTTTCCTTCTACTTTTTGAAGAAAACAAACAAGCAAACAAATTTCCGATTGATTGAAGCATTGTAATCTAAACAAGAACCAAAAACCCTGCATCAATTCTTTCTAGGGCCCTAGAGGACCAAAAGGTGACACCGGTGTACCTGGATTTCCAGGACTGAAAGGAGAGCAGGTAAGAGGGGCCCAGGAAGCTGAGTAGGATTGTCCTCCAGAATTTGCTAA